AATGATGGCTAAAGATCTCTTTAATATTTGAAAACTACCTGCCAAATAAACTTATAAACCACTGTTAACTACATTTGTTTTATTTAGTATCACAACTTAGTTATATTTGAGGGATTTAAAAATAGTTTTGGCAGGGCATTTTTTATGCATTTGCCTCTGTAAAGCAATGGAAGTAATCATTGTATATTTCAATGAATATATAAGTACTACACAAAAAATAAATTAAAATTGTAAAAATACGGGGGTATGGTGCCGCCATCAGGTCTATCTGTACCTGTGAGGCGAGTGCATCAGCAGCCTGATGGCACCTTCAGACTTCCAGATAACCCAAAATTGCTGCTGTGCCTTTGGCCAGACCCCAAAAACTTGGGGCAAAGCTTATAAAGAAAGTAAATGGCCAAAAGTTAAGTATATGGGAAACACACCCACAAACCACCTCCAGCTCAGCTATATACTTGGAGGCATGGCCCCTCTGGTTCCTGACTGAACTGCTTACTGGCCATGATCCCAGAGACTCAGAAACAAATCTCAAAACCCAACCGCTTTTGGCAGAAATGCATCCATCCCTACAGTAGGTTACCGGCACTGGGCCACCCCAGGTGGGAATATATTTCGTGCCTTGGCCTGTTCCCCCTGGCAGCCCAGTGGCTGCCATCCTTCAGAGGCCACTGGACAGTCAGGTTTGGGCCCCCAGTGATGAGACACACAGGGCCTCACGGAATGGGGGTAGAGCCGGTCCTGTGCTCCCCACCCCAACGAGACCTCAAATCATCGCCCACGAACGGCCTCTCTGGCCCCTGATCAAGCTGCTTAACGGCCATGATCCCAGAGACTCAGAAACAAATCTTGAAACCCAGCAGTTTTTGGCAAAAATGCGTCCGGACCACACAGTAGGTTACTGTCGCCAGGCCACCCCAGGGGGGAAAGGGTGCTGTCCCTCCGCCTGCTTCCCCCTGGTAGCTCCGTGGCCGTCATCTTCCAGAGGCCATTGGACATTCAGGCTTGGGCCCGCAGTGATGAAACTTGTTGGGCCTCACGGGATGGGGGTGGAGTTGGGCCTGTCCTCCCCACCCCAACGAGACCCCAAGTCATCCCCACGAACGGCCTCTCTGGCTCCTCATCAAGCTGCTCAACGGCCATGATCCCAGAGACTCAGGAGCAAATCTCGAAACCCAGTTGTTTTTGGCAGAAATCTCTCCAGATTTAAGTGTTAAAATTTCAGAATTTCAAAATCACATGGCCCTACTGCAGCCACGCGACATCACATGTTATTCATAACCAGCAATAGAACACAAATTGTCTACTGTTGTCTTTTCAGCAGATCCTAGTGTTGGGGTAAAATCACAAATAATAATGGTGGGTCTGGTGTCAGAATATTGAATGTGTTCAAAGTAGAGAGAGAGTAATGTGGAAATCATCTGCCCCAAAGGTAAGGGGAGGGTACGGGTTGGGGGTATACTGGTGTTGTTGGGGGTGGAGAATGGGCACTGGGGAAGGTACGGGTGTTTCATTGTATGACCAAGACTTAGACCCGAAAGCTTTGTAACTGCTCTCATGGTGATTCAATAAATAAAATTATAAAAAATGAAAAAAAAAGTAAGGTGGAGTTCATGCACAATTCAATCAGCTAATCAGTGGCTGAATAAATAGCAGTACTCCTACATTTAAAAAAAAATTGTAAAAATAAAAGTAACTGGACAAGGAACCTGCTGGAAAGACTATGGTGGCCTATAAGCTGGGATATATAGTGAGATGTCCCCAGGAAGAGCCACCCTTTAAGCTTAATATATCTTTTACTGAGTTCATACAAAATGACTAGAAATATTAGTATTCAGTATGATTGTTTAAATGTATTACCTAAGGAAAGGAAAAAGCAATATGCCCTTAGATGGAATATGCCCTTGAGTGGAATTCCTAGTAATCTAGAGTGCTGAACCCCCAGATGAGATTTTGTCCCTGAGTCCCTGAGTTAATCTCCTAGAAGAACGTCCCCTGAAGGAGGGGCTTTACAGCTGTTTATTGTAACATTCAGCCACACCTGTGTGTACCTCCACCCTTCACAATTTCTATATAACTAATGCTCTGAAAGGAAATAAATGGTAACTGATTACCAACCAGCCTGTGGCCCTGTTCCTCTGGTCCCCATTCCTCTGTTCCTTTGTTCATCTTTCTCCTTTGGCCGACCTGGAGAGGCAGTTCTTGACCACCGAACACATGCGTAGTGCACCCACACTTTGAACTCACAAATTATAAGATTAGTCATTAAGATTTTTGGTGAGACCAAATAAAGGGTGTTTGGAGGATCCTCCCAGGAGGGGAGATGCATGTCGAAAGTAGACTATGGACTGAACATGTTTGCCACTCAATGCCTCTTTTGCAGACCACAACACCCAAAAGGAGAGAGAGAACACAGGGGATTGTCCTGCCACAGAGGCAGGGGAGGATGGGGGGATGGGGGTGGGGGGGATATTATCCATGGTGGTGGAAAATGGGCACTGGTGGAGGGATGGGTATCTGATCATTGTATAATCAAACCCAAGCCCAAAAAAATTGTAAATCTACAACTGTACCTCATGGTGTTTCACTAATAAAAAAAAAGATTTTTGGTGAGAATCTTTTCATCAATATTCATCATTGATATCAATTTGGAATTTTCTGTTTTCATGATACTCTTTGTTTATCTTAGCTTTATAGAAACTGTTAAGATAGATTTTTTTTCTTCTTAAAATTTTTAAAGAGCTTGAGGAATTTGATAGAACATACTGATGAACTGTCTCATCCAGGGCTTGCTTTCTTGTCAAGGTTTTTAATTATTGTTTCAGTTTTCTTACTTATAATTGATCTGTTCAGGTTTTCTATTTCCTACTGATTCTTTGGCGATTTTATTAGTCTAAGGATACAGTCTTCTAGGTTCTCCGTTATAGTGGCATACGTTTATTTCCAATAATCTCTTATCATCATTTGTGTTTGAGAAGTGGCTGTTATAGTTTCTCACCTTTTATCTCTGATCTGATTTGTTCAGATTTTTTTTCCCCCTTTTTCCCCTCTCATGAATCTAGCTAAGGTTTTGTCGATTGTGTTTATTATTTATTTGTTTATTTACTTATTTTTAGCTTTTGGGCCACATCTGGTTATGCTCTAGGATTCCTTCTGGCTCTGTACTCAGGAATTACTTCTGGTGGTGCTTGGGGACCATATGAGATGCAGGGGGTCAAACCTGGGTCAGCTGCATGTAAGGCAAGTGCCCTACCCACTGTACTATCTCTCTGACTCCTGTTGTTTCTTTTCTTTTCTCTTTTTTTTTTTGGAAAAATCAACTGCAGTTTTCATTTACTCTTTTAATTTTTTTCTTGGTTTCTATACACTTGATTTCTGCTCTGATTTTTTTTTTCATTTCCTTCCTTATGCTTGGGATTCATGCGTTACTCCTTTTCTGTTTTCTCTGGCTGTGAGTTTAAGTACTTATTTGAGTTTTTTCTTCTTTACTGAGATAAACCTATATTGCTTTGAATTCCCACTTGGTATTATTTTTGCTGTGTGGCACAAGTTCTGATAGCTATTTATACCTTCTTTTTTTGCTCATTTTGAGGATTCATTTATTTCTTGTTTGATTTTTATCTATTGGTCCAATTATTTAAAACTTACTTAAAATTATTGTTTTTTCAGTTTCTAAATGTAGGAACTTTCCCCAGTTTTATTTTATTTTTAATTCTGTCTTCATAGCAGTTGTAGTCTGAGAAGATACTTGATATTATTTCTAATTTTGTGATGTTATAGATAGATTATACCCCAATATGTGATCTATTCCAAAAAAGGTTCTGTGTGTTTGGAGAAGAACGTGTATTTGACTTTGGGGGTATGGAGAATTCTGTAGACATTTCTTTTAGCCCTAGTTATTCCAATTCCTCATTTAGGGTTCTTATTTCTTTACTGATGTTCTCTCTGATCAGTTCAATGACAGAAATAGAGTGTTGAAGTTTCCTATTATTGTGTTGCCATCATTTTATCTTCTCTGATCAAGTGAGTTGCTTTATAAATTATAAATTAGCAGCTTTTTAAATTAGCAATTGCTTTATAAATTTTGCTGTCCCTTTATTTGCTGTCTGTAAGACTTAAGTCTGCTTGGTGAATTGAGTCCTTAACCAATATATAATAACCATCCTTATCTTTTCCTACGTTCTTCAGTTGAATGTTAATTGGTCACATACAAGTATGGCTGTCCCTGCTTTTTCTTTTTTTAAATCTGCTGTTAGCCTTATGATTATTTCCAGTCATTCATTCTGATACTGTTTATCGTGAGAACTCAAGTATATCTCTTGTAAGAAAGAAGATTAGATTTTATTTTCTGATCCATCCAGCCACTCATTGCTTTTTGATAGGAGAGATCAGCTCATTGACATTTAGAGACATTCTGGATATTAAGGAATGTGTTGCCATTTTTCTATGATCATTTTGGTTATTTTTGTCATTCAGCACTTATAGGAGTTCATTTATATTTTCCATTTTTTTGGTGAGTTAAGAGTGGAGAAAGGTTGGCACCAAGTGGGATGGTACCAACCTTTCTTGTTTTTTAGTGGTTTTAGTTAATTGATGTATTTAATTATATCCAGACTCAAATTGCCCCATATTTGGTAGTGGGAGCATCTTTGTAACTAAATCTTAATTCTTTAGGATACAAATGGAATTACTGGTCAAAGGGTATGTATGGCTTTATGTCTTTGTGAATGGCTATATTTATGCTCTAACCTACAGTCTTTGAGAGGTGCTGGATTTTCTAGACCAGTGTTTCCAAATTGTGACCACATATTAGAATCACTGAAGGCCTTTAAAAGACTGTGACACCCAAGCCTGTCTTCTAGATTTTTGTCTTTGAGGGTCTAGGGCACAATTTATTTCTTTAAAGACTCTCTCTCCTAAGAGATTTTAATATGTAGTCAGTTCTACAGGTAAAAATGGTGTTTCATAATTTTAATTACAATTTTCTTCTGAAATTGTTTCAGACATTCAGATTTCGGAGAAGTGACCCCAGAAATAAAAGCATCAGGAAGACAAACAGCTGTAGCAATTGCAGGTAAAGTTGTGGTTGGGCCTACTGTAAAGCAGGGCATTTTCTGTGTCATTGGGATTCGAGCACCCTTTTTATAGTGAAGTTGTCTCCTTTCCACCCCCACCCCCAGGCTCAGGCAGCAGTCAGCTGTAGCCAAAAATATGTAAAGCCATACCACCACCTGCTGGAAAAATAATGGATGACCAAGCACTTTAGAGTTCATCTGAATTAAAAGGTAGTGGCAATAGTCAGTGGGCAGACAGAAATTATACTAGCAGGCAACTTGAGACTTCGAGACATTATTTTCTCAGAAGAGGAAATGACATTACTCCAAAAACCAAACATAAAAAAAAAGTGTGAGATTATATCTTTCTAGCACATAGATAATTCAAAATAGCTGTCATGAAGAAACACAAAATAAAAAAAAAACTCACAAAAATAATTCAAAAGGCTCATGAGTAAAATTAACAAGCAAGGATAGAAGTTGAAACCTTTTAATGATAAATTAGTAGATTCAGGATGTGAAGAAGTCAATAAATGAAATCAAGAATGCTATATTAAAAGTTACAGAAATCAGATAAACCTACGGGAGGAATTAATCTGTAAGCTCGAAGGTAGAAGGTTTGAAATGATTCTGGTGGAAGAACAAGATAAAATAAGATTAGAAAATGAAATCGTACTGCAGCTGGAGCAGTTGTATAGTGAGCTTGACTTGCATGTGATCAACCTGGGTTCAATCCCCCAGCATCCCTTATGTTCCCCTAAGCACCACCAGGAGTGATTCTTGAGTGCATATTCAGGAGTGATCCCTGAGCTTTGCCCAGTGTGGCCCCAAAGCAAAAACAAAACAAAACAAAAAACAAACAAAAAAATGAAATAGTACTATAACAATCCAACTGCGTTAGAAAAGGCAACAGGACTGGAGCAATAATACAGTGGGTAAGGCACTTGCCTTTCATGCAGCCAACCCGTGTTTGATCCCCATCATTCCATATGGTCTCTTTAACCTCCCAGGAGTGATCCCTGAGTGCAAGGCCAGGAATAAGCCCTGAGCACTGCTGAGTGTAGCCCTCCCAAAAGGAGAGAGAGAAATGGTAACATAAGGCTTATGGATATCTCAGAAGGGGAAGAATGGGAGAAAGATAGCAGAGGGCATGTTCTGACAAGTAATAGTGGGGCCAGGAAGTTATCTCAGAGGGCTGGAGCATACACTTAGAATGTAGGAGGCCTGGGTTTGGTCCAGGGCACTGCACTGCACAGTCTCGTGAGCGTTGCCTGAAGCAGTCCCCTGAGCACCTATAGTAGGTGAGGCTAAAAAGGAAAGCCAATAAATAGATGAATAAATACCAAAATTGTTACACCAGACTAAGAATACTCAAAGGAAAAATAGCTAAAAACTTCCCAACCCCAGAGAAGGAACTGAATATACCAGTCCATTTAGATATCTGCATGCATACAGACTTACACTAAGGCAAAGCAGTGACACCAAAGGGCAAGATAAGTTAAAGCTACCTCTGTCAATTACCTGAGAAATCATCAAACTTTTCATCAGAAACTCTCTATGCCAGCAGAGGGTAGAATGACTCATTCAAAAATATTCAAAAACTGAAGACCAAGGATATTCCAAGAATATACCTTTCAGATAGGAGGGAGAAGAAACAAAAGCCTCCAGACAAGTGAAAACTGAAGGAGCTTACCCAAGACCATCTTTACAAGAAAATCTTTATTTAATTGAATGAAATGAGATGAATTTTAATTTAATTAGCTCTTCTAATTCTCAAAAACTTTAGCCAAAGTAAATAGAATCAGGAAACAGAAAAATTTTCTCTTAACAATAGTAAGCCCTTATAGACCAATAGTTTGTTTCTTGTCAATGGAATTGACTCTCATCAGAACACAGAAAAGATGGGGCTGAAACAGTAGCACAGTGTATAGAGTGCTATAGTGTATAGGGTGCATGAGACAGACTGGATTTGATCCCTGGAATCCTGTATGGTCCCCCAAGCACCACCAGAGCCAGGAGTAACCCCTGAGCACTGTTGGCTATAGCCCCCAAACCAAAATAAATAAGAAAAGATAAAAATTAAAAAGTTAAAAAATTAGAGCACCAAATGGTTAGATGTATTAGACTTATTGGGCAGCCTAGGGACAGAAACACAGTTCCTACCACTGAAGTTCAGGGACCAGCTTTGACTCCAAATCAAGCACAGAGCCAGGAGTAATCCCCAGAACTAGTAAGTATGTACCCAAACAAAAAGAACGAAGAAGTAAAAATTAAAAACTTAACCATAGGTGACCTATAAGAGACTTGATTTGGTTGTAAAGACAAACAGACTTAAAGTTAAGGGTTGGAAAGTGTTACTCCCACCTAATAAATATCTCAATACCTTTACTTGTGTCAGAATAAACTTTTATCCACAAAGCTCAAAGAAGATGTTAAAAACTGATATTTTATAATGATAATTCTATTATCATTATAATTTCAATGATAATGATAATCTCATTATCATTATAAAGTATCAGTCTTCTATTATAATAGGAACACACACAGAAACAACAAAGAGTCTGTAGAGTTACTCAGTGACTTACAACACCTGTCCTGAGTTTAAATCACTACATTTACCAAGCACAATTCTGGCAGCTCTGCCACCTGTGTTTTTTGGTACTACAAGCAGTTTCCAACTGCATTATGATAAGGTGTATGTCAGCATCACAAAGGGGCCCAAACCCCAGGAGACTGCTACAGCTTTAAAGATGTGTGAGTACCACAGACAGGAAGTACAGCATCAATATGTGTGAGCACTCTAGCGACCCCTAGTGGTTACTACAACCATAACTTGCATACCTCACCTAAATTGCTTGATCCCCAATAATCTGAGTGCAAGCACCACAGCAACACAAGTGAGCACTGCAGCTAAGTGCATAAGCATCACAACCTGATATATGGTCCCCACAAGCACCACAGCTAAGAGGACTGGCACCACAGCCATGTGTGCATGTGACCTATACTCAAGGCAACACCAGCAGTGAACAAAAGAAGGAGAGAGGAGGAGCTTATTAAAGCACCAGTATCTACAAAACTGTAAACGGAAAGGAATACACAGATCACAACACAGTTGTGCAAGGAGATACTGTCGAATGACTTTCGCCGGTGGATAGATCAGACCGAAATTCCCCCTGTAAATGCTAGCCTTAAGTAACAAATTAAATGAGATGGATTTAATACTTAGAGAGCATTCCGCCCCCAAATAGCAGAAGGCAAATTCTAAAGAGCACATGGAATATCTCAAGGATCGAACATATGCTGAGATGCCAAGAAAGTATCAATAAATTTATAAAATTGAAATCATATCAAACATTTTTTGGATCATTCTACTGTAAAACTAGAAAACAATAAAAAAAAAGTGGTAAATGCCACAGATAATGTGGAGACTAAATAGTATACTAAATAATTGCTGAGGCAATGAAGAAATAAACATAGAAATCAAATTGTATCTGAAGATAAATGAAAACGCAAGATAATCACAGACCACGGTATGCAGCTAAAAGAGGTACTCAGATACAGTTGTACTAGAAAGACAGTATAGGGATGCAGGCAACACACCCTGGTTCCAAGCCCTGCGTTGCATGGCCCACTTAGCACTGCCAGGAGTGATCCTAAAGCAGCACTGAGTCAGAATAGCCTCCTTCAAAAAACCCTTCCCACCAGAAAAGGGAAATTTATAGTAACAAATGATCACTTCAGGAAACAAGATAACACATATTTAAAAACAAACTTGGACCTAAAGTAACTAGAAAAAGTCAGTAGAAGGAAAAATATGATAAAAACTGGATAAGAAATAAAATAGTTATCAAAAAGACAATTCAAAATGCCCGTGAAACCAAGAATTTATTTTTGAGAAGATATATAGAGAAAGACAATCTAGTAATTTTGTTTCAGTGTTGTCAAAGATAATACAGGAATAGTGGCTCATAAGATTATTATGTTATATGCAAAATTTGAACAATCTCGGGGAAAAATTATTAGAAACATAACATTTTAATACTGAATAACAAAGAAATAGGAAGTTTGAACAGCTCAATTATGAGAAAGGAAAGTGAAACAGTAATCAAAATCTTTCCCAAAACAAAAGCCAGGTCTAGAGATTTCACGAGTTAGAGACTTTCACACAGTAAATACCTACTGACCCTCAAGTCTTCCAGTGATTTGAAAAACAAGACTTTTAGGCACATTTTATGAGACCAGAATTACCCTGTTCCAAAAAAACCCAAAAGAATCATATGCACAAAGAACACAATAGAGTAATTAATTTCTTTGGAGGCTGTAGATGCAAAAAACCTTTAAAAGTACTGAGTGAGCCAGGGAGGTTTCTTAGAGGGCTGGAGTACATGCTTTAATACCAGCTTCATCTAGTTCCCTGAGTACCCCTGGTAAGACCCCAAGCACCATACTATGAGTATTTCCTAAGTAGTGTCAGTCTTTTGTTCCCCCCTCAAAGTACTAGCAAACCAAATGCCACAATGTTAAAATAATCATTTTACATAATAAGTAGGATTTATCAAGGTGGCACTAAGATGGTTTAATGTAGTCAAATCTAATTTAGTGTTATAAACCACTTCAACAAAATGGGCAAATTACCTGGTCATCCCAAGGATGCAATAAAAGCTCTTGACATTACCCAGCATTAACTTATGATTAAAACCCTTAGCAAAATGGTCAAAGAGAGGCCAGAGTACTAGTACAGCACATCCACCTGGGTTTTGTCCCCAGCACCATATGTGGTCCCTCGATTCCTGCCAGGAGTGGTCTCTGAGCTCAGAGCCAGGAGTAAGCTCTTGTATGACCCAAAAACAAAAATTAAAAATAAACGGACATAGAGTGTACCTCAACATGAAAAATGTCATTTACGATAAACCTGTAGCAAGCATCACTCCCAATGGTGAAAACTTGAAAGTTTTTGCTCTAAAATCCTCTGAAAACAGGGATTGATTCCCACTCTGACTACTATCATTCAACGTAGCAA